CCGAGTTAGTACTAACCAAGTCGATTAAATCTGCAAATTATAACAGAGGTAATTATCACTTTGCTTTAAGAAAATGAAATATTCCAATCTATTTTAATCTCATCGGCTCCATGCCTGCGGGGTATTAAGAGAAGCCTGCTCAAGATGTATTAATGATTTTCAGAGTGTTTCTGGAGGATTTCTATGTTGTGGGCTGATATATCTCTGGTACCCCTTGCCATTGCCTAAGGGGTACCATGGGATTCAGAACCCAAGCATCTTTTCTTCCTAATTCATCCTTTATCTAGAAGACAACCTCTCAGAATCATGCTCTGATTTTAGTTCCAGTTTCAGGGGGAAAAAAATAGTAGCACCCTGCCTTAACCAGAAACTCCTGAGTACAGCACAATGCCAAGCCAGACGCCACCAAATCTACCATTGAATTTCTGCTGGCTATTCAGAAGATCCTCTTGGCCTGCTCAGTAAGAAGGGCACTTCCTGAGCTGGAGGGACACTGAATCAGGCACTTGCCAAAAGCCCTCCCTCCAATCTCACAAAAATAAAAGTAGAAGAAGGGTCTTGGCATACAGCAAGAGCTCTGAGATGATTTGGGTTTTCCTACGGCTCCAATCAGGAGAGCCAGTCATCTTGGCTTGTAGAAGGATATGTTGAGCATTCAGCTTACGGCACTAATGTAGGGGATGAAAGAAAATGGATTTCAGAAACATTGCCTTCAGGTGGTGGTCATCCTAAAAATGATAATATTGGTCTCCAGATTACCAATTCGCCAGCTATGTGATCTGGTCCTAGTTATTTGACTTGGCTTAGGCTTGAATCCCTCACTTGCAAAACATGTTATAATAGCAACTCCCTTGTAGAGTAGCTTCAGGGATGAGCCAAAACCCTGTATCTACTCATTACTCAATGAGTGCCTTTCTTTTCCTTTCCGGATGGAATGCAGTACATACTCAGCCCTTCTAATGAGGATTCTCAACTGTGTCAACTGTAGTATCAACTGTTTCATCCAAGATTGTGATGGAGGGGAGAGGTTGGTTGGGGCATGGCAAAGACCCTCAAAGGAGCCTTTATGGAAGAAGGAAACGTGCCAAGAAATGGCTAAATATCCCATTTTACCTGTCTGCTTCTGCAGAAACCCCCTGGAAGCCTCGCTCGCCTGGCTTGTGCCTCCCCTGGCTATTATAGCACACTGAGTCCCTCTCCTACAAGGCCAAAACTCCTCCTGACAACACCGGACACATCCCCAAGCCCCATCCCACAGGCTCCATTAAGCAGACCCTGGCAGTCTAGATGCCTCATGGCAGATGGTGCCATGCAGACTAATCAAGAAGGCAGACAAGAAAATCCTACCCCCTCTTCCATTTGCCAGGAAAAGCGATTGTTTGGATTTTAATCATAGCCACAGCTAAGAGCCAATGCACAGCCTCCTCCAGCCCAAAGATAAATTTTCCACTTTCAACATTCAATTCTTCCTCAAAAAACAGACCCCTACCAGAGAGATTGCTCCTTAGAGAGGGGCTTCTTCATCCACCAATATAATTTTTTTCTGATTTAACACTATGACAGAAATAAAATACTGTTTGGATATGGTGGCACTCACATACTGACTCACTCTGCAAGAAATGTCTTCATTCCTCCATAAGTTACATCTAGCTCACCGGTATATTGATCCCAGGCAAAGATGAATGCAGAATCCCATGATCCTCTGGGAGAAATGTGACATTTTCTTTAAATATATATCCACAGAACAACTGTTTCTAAATCTCCATGAAGCAGGTCACCAGGGCAGCACACCATTGATTTCACATCCACCGGTTTCTTAGAAAGAACACTGAACATTTTCTCAATAATTCAGCCTCTAGCAGACCTGACATCTTCTTGGGGCACACTGTCTCTGGCCTCCCCTATGTTAAGGGTCAGAGATCGTAGAAGAACTAGATGCAAAATGACAGACCTTCTGCCCCCAATCCCTTTGAGGTCACTAGGCTTTGTGGTGGTTTTAATAAGATGCCCCCTCTAAAAAGTCTCAGGCATTTAAAAGTGTGGCCCCCAACTGGTGGCTGTTTGGGGAGAGTTAGAAGGTATAGCCTTGTAGGAAGAGGTGTCATTGGTGTAGGGTGAGGTTTCAAAGGCCCATTGTCATCCCCAGTGTGTTCTCTTGGCTTCCTGCTTTACTCTGGTATCATGGCTGCCTACCCTGCCGCCATGCTCCCTGCCATGTTGGCGATGGGCTCCTATCCCTCTGGAACTATAAGCCCCGGGTAAATCCTTCCTTTTGTAGGTTGCATTGCTCATGGCATTTTTTGTTTTTGTTTTTGTTTTCTCAGAAACAGAAAACTAACTAGTACCTGCTTCGTCTTCATTTTTAATTTGACTGGATTCAGGATCACCTAAGAGACATACCTCTGGGTTTATCTGTGAAGGAGTTTGTAGACAGGGTTAACTGAGGAGATAAGATATGCCCTGAATGTGTACAGCACCATGACATGGGTTGGGGTCCCGGGCTGAGAAAAAGAGAAAGGGTAAGTGGGGCTTTGGCATTCATATCTCTCTCTCTCTCTCTCTCTCTCTCTCTCTCTCTCTCTCTCTCTCTCTCTCTGCTTCCTCACTACGGAAGCTGTCTCACACTCCAGCTACCGTGACTTCCTCACATGCTGGGCAATACCCTCTCGAGTTGTGAACTAACAGACCCTTCCTCTCTTAAGGGCTTAAGGGTGTCTTATCCAGTCTCACTTCTACCCACTGGTCTGACAAAGCAAGGGTATAACTTACCCATGCAACAGCAATGAGAAACGTAGCTGATGCAGAGAGAAAGCTAGCAAAGACTCATGGCCACACACTTTTCGAAGAATTAAATAGGCTGGAAAACAGTGGAGGACAGTTAAGCACAGTGACCCAGGCTTTGAGTCTGCACACTACTGCTTATCTAATGGGTGACCTGAAATGAGAGTCTTCCATTGCTGTGTCCTCCCAGGTGGCACAGTTGTGAGAATTCCTACCTTACAAAATTGTCTTCAGGATTAAATGAAATAGTATGCATAATTTAATAGATTACTGTCATGGTGCCCGGCACAAAGGAATAGTTTGGAAATCAGTGATAGTAGTAATTATAGTGGCCATGCCAATGTACCCCTAAGGTCCTCTGTTAAGTTACATCTAGTTCAAGGTGAGAATGAACAGAATACAGTAAGTACAACAGCCCTTACTTTAGAGATCTGTGACATAGTCTGTTTGGGAGAATGTTTTATAAACACAAATTTGTTTACCTTCCTTTAGCTATTATCAGAGGTTATTGGTGTCCATCAAGAACTCTACCAAATAAGACTAAGAACTCTGATCACTAGGCCTACTGGTACCCATACCAGAATATCAGAGCAGTAGTCTGGCAGGGAGGGACACAATTCTAAGAAGGGAAAGCAATAAACAATAATATTGTCCAGTTTTTTAGACTAGGTCTCACTGTGCACCCCAGACTGACCAGCCTGTAACTCATGTAGCTCAGACTAAACTAAAACTGTTGACCCTTCTGCTTTTACCTTCCAAGTTCTGAGACTACCACGAAGCCCAGTTAGCAACACCTTCAAAGTGATAGTCTCTCTCTGTCCATCCCTGGGATAGGTTTGGGAAGGATCATGTGAGCAGTTGTGTAATATCACACAGGTGAAGCCATGAAACACATGACAACATACAGATTAACAAAAATGGGCTGAGTTGAAGTGTAAGAACTAGTCAATAGTTAGCCTGAACTAATGGCCAAGCAGTTTTAATTAATATAAGCCTCTTTGTGTTTACTTGGGTCTGATGGCTGTGGACTGGGCAGGACACAAAAAAAAACTTCAACTACACAGTAGGGCCACAAAGACAGGATAATAAGCAAAGTTGTAAAGGGTAATGAGTTACTGGGATATAAATAGTCTCATTTCTATCAGCTGGTCTGAAAAACCAAAGTTATAATTTATTCATGAACACAGGTCTGGGCAGGTGGAAAGAGAAGGTGAAAGGCCCATAGCCCAGGCAGAGGTCCAAGGTCTTTACTTCCTAGTAAACACTGTGATCACAGCCAAGGAATTTGGATCTGAGTCACAAAGTAAAAAGGAACACATGAGCACTCTCTCTAAAACTCAGACTCCCTAACTCCATCCATGCCTCAATTCATTTTCAATTTGTTCCTTGATTTATTCCCTCAACATAATAGACTGTCCTTCATGCACAGAGATGACCCTGATGACTCACACAGCAACATGAGTTATTTTCTCCAGTCTCCAGCAGTGGTCACGAATTCGCACTTATCCAGCCTACATCTGTTTTCACAAAATGGCTGGCTAGGGTAGGAGTGCATTGATCAATCAGCCTTGTAATGCAGCAAAGCTAAGCAGTCCACACGCAGATAAAATAAATATATGCCCTCTCCCATGCTCAGAATGCCTAGACATCAAGCCAAATGAGTTGATAGGACATCATGAGCACTGTGAAGGCCATAGAGTCTGAAGCTGGAAGGCCATGCCCAAGTATCAACTATGCAAGTCCTTAGCAATGCAACTGTAGTTGATTCTTGAGTGGGTTTCTAGGGCTTAGAGTCTACAAAATGCAGAAAATTATACCTACCACCCGTGAGTCTTATTATGGTAAATCTAAGATCATGTAAGAAAAGCATACCCAACAAAGCTACAAAGTTATGTATAGCAAATATTATTTATTAGAAATCAATTGATATCTTTATTATTATAAGTATTAAAATTATTACTGCTAGTTACCTGCAGATCACAAAACCAAAAGCTGATGGAAGATGAGGTTCTGTCTTATATAACAGAGTGTGCTTAGTAAAAGCGTCCCAAGCCAAGTCCATGGATGGGGTTACATCACTGTCACTGAACATGGTATGCTCAATGCCATCCAACCCAAACAGCCCAGCCACCGGGTAACTCCAATGCTTGACACTCTTTGCCCACCCAATCATTACCAGCACTCCGCCACCTGGACAGAGTCTTCAATTCCGAACTTACAATTCCCGAAGACTCAGCGTCTGGAAGAGCTGCCAGGAGAGTGTGGTGAGCCGGTTACTCGACAAGTTTCTGCAAAAAACGACAAACGAAGAGATAGTTAAAGGGCAGATCCAGCATCAGGAAGGCCCTCAATGGAGGACCTGGTCATCTGGAGGCAGGCTTTGTGTGCTCCCTTTTCTTCACCCTATTTTGCTAATGATATGTCTGCTAGTAGTTGAGACCATGGGGCAGGGGTGAAGGGGATGCTGAAGCCTTTTCAAGGGTAAGGTTTTACACATCTAAGAAACAATACAATACGGTTCTCTTGTTTACTCCTCATGCTGCCCTTTAATAAAAGCTCGGGGAGCCTGTTTGAAGCAAGCTCCTCTAGACAATAGTTCTGGCGATAACCAAGCCCACAGCATCCTTTACATCCACACAGGAAGGAAGTCTTTAGGCTCCTTATAAATTCTTCTCACTCACCCCTCCCCAAGAACACATGCCCATTCCAGAGATCAAGACATCAGCCTTTGTTCACACATCTCTTCTCCTAATGGCTATTTAATTGTTCTCATTAGGATGTACAGGGGAAGGGAGCAGCCATTAGTCTTCTGAATAAAAGAAACACACCCACGGTTATTACTTTGCCAGGCTCAACAAACAACTTTTGATGTGATAACAGCCCTTAAAAGCAGTAGTTAGGCACTGGGAGAAACCAAGTGGCAACCCAGGAATGATGCACTCATTTGCTGATGGGAATGGACAGCAGTGCTGGTTCCATTTAGATAAATATCCATCCATACACAAACGAACATGTGTATATGTGTATCTATTTAACACGTAGGTAACAATGCAAACACAGACTTTTGTTTATACACACACACACACACACACACACACACACACACACACACATACACACACACGCTTCCATGTGTACTTATATTTAGGTGACTTCTGTAGCAAGTAGAAGAGTCAGATACAGGCTATGCTGAGGTCTAACAAACATGATGGAACCTTGTCTTCACGTTACAAATGAATAAGCAGAAAGAATCGTCTAAACAAAATGACAAGGGTAATTGGGAGTGGGGCTACTTTACTTGGGTGCTTGGAGAAGAACCTTCTGAATAGTTAACATGGGACCTGGGAAAAGTAAGAATGATAATGAGCTGAGAGCCAGGAAGAAGCCCCACCAGAAACAGAGTTACAGAGAGTGAGGATAAGTAGAAGAGGGATTGTGCCACATTTTCAGACCTTGGGGGGAGACTGGCATTACTCCAAAGAGCAACAGGAAGCATTGGGTGACTCTTAGTGGTAATGTATCATAAACTAAGTACCACTTTTTTCAATGGAAGACCAAGACTGAAAGTTGACAGGATAGTGAGGGGACCTTACGTAGCTTCCAAGCAAGAAAAGAAAAAAAAAAAAAGAGGAGAGATGGGTTCAAGATAAGTGCTCAGGGTAATGCCATCAGAACCCACAGCTAGCTCTGAGAAAAGAGGAGGGTGAATTGAGTGATAGGTGTTGTGGTTAGAATATGAAATGGCCTCCAAAGATAGGTATTTTGAATGCTTTTCTGGTGGCCTCATTTTGAGAAGTCATGAAAACATTAGGTGGTGGGACCCACGTAGAGGAGGTAGATCACCAGAGATGAGTCCTTGGAAATACCTTACCTCCAGGCCCTTCTTGTAGGACTGTCTGCCTCCTGTCTATCAAGAAGTGAACAGCCTTCCACACACCACCATGATGTGATGCTTGAGGACCCGAGACCAACAAACCATCAGCCAAAATATTCTTCCCTAAATTTTTATGTCAAGTCTTTTGTCACACAACAAAGAAAGTCACTAATATACTAGTGACTAATGAGGCATTTAATAAGATGAAGAAGCCTACTAACAGATCACATTTGAGCAGTGGGGCCAAAATGGTCCTCTCAGATCAGCTAACAGAGGAAAGTCGAGAGAAGGTAATGACAGATGGATATGTTATATGTTATTCATATGTTATATGCATATATGAAAATGTCACAATAAGCCCATCATTTATACAAGTAATATCTAGCTATTAATAAAAGTTAATGTATTAACAGAAGAGCACCCCACTTCTTGTGAATATTAAGCTTGAAGTGCCTGTAAGACACCTAGAGAGTGAAATCAAATAGTCTATTGGAGAGGTGTGTTTATACTGAGACCTATGGAATTGAGAATGTGCTCATCAGGAAACAAGAACAGATATTCCAACGTAAGAACAGTTTAGAAATAGGGCATCCCATTTTTCATTAGATGAGGCTTATTTGTGATAAGATGGCTGGATCCTACACTGTCCTAAACCAGCTAACTTTCTAAGACAGTTTATGATGATCTTGGTAAAGCAACCCAACTCTAAGGGTACAGGGGACCACTGTAGAAAGGAAAGAGACCACATGCAGGTAGCTTCAAAGTCTGCTGCTCTGTTCTCTTCCCTGTGTTTATTGTTGTCTCTGCCTAAGGACCTTTAACCCACAAAGAGCTCTCCAGGATGATCCCATGGGCCCAAGCAGACCCACATCTCTCTACAGGGTTGGGAGTTCTGGTGTGATATCACATGTCCATAAAGAGCCATCTTAAGCCATTCATTGTAGTCTGCTTCACAAAGCCCCTGTGACTTATTCCTACAAACTTCTACCATTACCTACCTACGAGAAGAAATGGGGTTCCATAGGAAATGTACTGAGATCATTTAAGGTAACCCCCAGGGCAAGCTCCCAAAGCAAATACCTGTGCTCAGAGGAGCACAATAGATCTTGAAATTTTTCACAGAGTCACTGCCCAAACATAACCAGGAGCCTTGGAGCTCACAAGTTGGGAGCAAAGGCCACGGGTTTCAGTACCAGTCCCTGGGTCTACACTGCTGCTAGCCAGTGTGATGTTGTAACAAATCTGAGTGCTTGGACCACCCAGGTAGAAGTCATTTTACTGGCTCTGTTGTTCCAGTTTGCTGTCTATACACAACAGCATCCTTGGGAGTAAACCTTGAACAATGGGGACTGAGGAGATAGTTCTGTCAGTAAAATGTTTGCCGTGTAAGCATAAGGACCTGAGAGGGAGTCCCAGAATACACATAAAAAGCCAGGCATGGCAGAACAAGCTTGTAAACCAAGCACTGGGGAGGTAGAAATAGGTGGATCCCCAGCGACCGCCAGCCAGCCAGCCTCTCCTAATCATAGAACTCCAGATTCCAATAAGAGATTGTATCCAAAAATAAAAACAAAACAAAACAAAAAAAAACTATATATGGCTCCTAGGAAATGGCACCCAAGGCTGATCTCTGACATTACCTATAATGTCTACACATGTACACACACACACACACACACACACACACACACACACACATACACACACACACTTAAACTATTCCTAAACTTCCAAATTCGTGAGGGAATCCTGGCAGAAATTTGGAAAGATTCCCGGGCTGCACCTTTAGTTGCCTGGTTTTCTTCAGTGCTTCGTTGAACAAAAACCATGCTTCAAAAAGCTGGGCACTGGCAGCCTGCAGGGACCTCGTGCTCACTGAGCCTGGAGGAGCATGCTCCTGATAAGGCACAGCTCTGGTAGGAGGCGGCTACTGTTAGGAACAAGCCATCGTAGAGGCAGGACTGGCCCAGGTACACCAGGCAACCTGGCCCCTTTCCGAGAAAGGAACAGGCAGCAAGCCTTCCAGGAGTTCTGGGGAGCCCCAGGCAGAAAGCAGGCTGCCAGCCACGTCCTCTTACAAAGGTCATGCTTTGCTACATCAGGCAGAAATGTCAAGAGAAAATTGGATTCTGAAAGAAAGAAAATCATAGGCACTCTGGGCAAATAAAGACTAAGAAATAGCATTATCCCCTCCTTATTACAAGGGACCGGCGGCTGGGGGCCTGGGACACCTAGTAAGGAGGAGTGTGAGCTTTTGTTCTTCCACAGGGGTGCAGCTTCACCTCCAGCCCACCCACTCTGTCCACATACACATATACACACCTTCACATACATTTCCAGACACAAGGACACTGCTGCAAAAGTCCCAGGAAATATGCAGTGTGTGTAACCGGTACAGCTGTACCCAGAGCACTGCCCTAGACACACAATAGAAGTACCCAGGTCTAGAGACCAACATACACATCACAAACACAAGCAGGGTATGCCTCTGGCCACCCTGTCCTCTTGGGCATTTATACCTTCCCTTGAAACAGGAGAGATGGGAAAACCGAGGTCCGGGGTTTTGATGGACATTAGCATCCAGATGGGCAGAACGCGCCGGCCCAGTTTTTCCTTCCTGCTGACACCTCACCTGTCCCCATCTGTTAGTGGTTATTGATGATCTGGTTAGGCTGCTCATCAGACAAGAGTGTAATTAAGAGTCACCCTGCCTCGGAGCCCCATGCAGCCTCCTCCTGGTGCCTCCTCCCTGGCACATCCGTTGTCACCTGCCTCTGGCTTTTGCTTGGGTCAATGACCAGTATCCAAGCCATCTGACCATTGAATCAGTTTGGAGAGTGAGATTTTTATGAAATGAGGCATCAAACACTTTCCCAAATCCAATCTCTCTCTGTGTGTGTCTCTCTGTGTGTCTCTCTCTGTGTCTCTGTCTCTCTCTCCTCTGTCTCCCCACCCCCTATCTCATCTGAGACTCCCAAACAAAGCCATTAATTTGGTCCTGCACAACTGGCTCCCTCCCAGCCAGACTCTGGGGTCCAGAGGTAATAAACAGTAATGATAGGAGCTTTGAAATCAAAGAGATCCAACACACATATGGCCACACTCTGGGCCCAGTGGAGAGATAGGACTGAGATGGCCCTCCCTGCATTAACTAAGCAGGAAACAGGGAGCCTCTGAGGCAATCTGCCACTCTGTCTGGTAGACAGGTCCCCTGGTGAAGCAGCCTATGGGGCTTCCTAAGGGAAGCACCCATCTTTATTTAGCAGAAGTGGAATCCTTTATCACCCTCTAGTCTGAGCCGGTTACCCTATGAGAGGGTCAGCAAGATGGACCCTGCTGCCAGAAGAAACCAAGCAGAGGAGCTCTTCTGTGTGGCCCTTAATACTTGGGCACTGAGACCTCAAGGGGAGACAG